CCCCTAATTTAATTTATTTTTCCTTTAATTCTTCCTAATTTAATTGATTTTTTCCTTTTTTTTTTCCTAATTTTAATTGTTTTAAATTTTCTCCTAATTTCATTGACTTTTTAATTTAATTTTTTTAAAATTTGTTTTTCATTTACTTTTTCCTAACTTAATTTTTTTCTAATTTAATTTGGTTTTGTATTTTTTTCCTGAATACATAAATACATAATTATATAAATTAATATATAAATATGTAACTATATAATTATACAAATAAACACATAAATATATAAACATGCAACACAATAAATATATAAATATGTAAGCATAGAATTTTATAAATAAATACACAAAGATATAAATGTGTAACTAACTAAATATATAAATATATAAATATTTATAATTTTATAAACAAATCCACAAATACATAAGCCTGTAACAAACCCACCCAAACGTGTCCCGTTGTCGGTGGTTGGCCGGGCAGGCGTGGGCGTGGCAGGAGAACGTTCTGGAAGCGGGGACGCTGGAGCGTTACACGGTGGAGAGGAGCAACACGGGCAGCGGCGTCCTGTCCACGCTCACCATCAACAACGTCATGGACGCCGACTTCCAGACGCGCTACAACTGCACGGCCTGGAACAGCTTCGGGCCCGGCACCGCCATCATCCAGCTCGAGGAGAGAGGTTGGCTTGGCTTGGGATGGGATGGGTTGGGTTGGGTTGATTGAGTTGGGTTGGGTTGAGTTGGGTTGGGTTGAGTTGATTTGGTTTGAGTTGGGTTGCGTTGAGTTGAGTTGGGTTGGTTGAGTTGGGTTGGGTTGAGTTGATTTGAGTTGGGTTGGCTTGGCTTGGCTTGAATTGGGATGGGTTGGGTTGGGATGGGTTGGCTTGGCTTGGCTTGAGTTGAGTTGGGTTGAGTTGGGTCAAGTTGGGTTGAGTTGAGTTGGCTTGGCTGGGGTTGAGTTGGGTTAAGTTGGGTTTAATTGAGTTGGGTTTAACTGAGTTGAGTTGGGTTGGGTTTGGTTCAGTTGGGTTGGGTTACGTTAAGTTGGGTTTAATTGAATTGGATTGGGTTGGGTTGGGTTGAGTTGGATGTTTGGGGGAATTTTATGGAAATCGAGGCCGGGCCTTGTTTCTCCACCTCGGCCGTGTCCGAGGAATTGCTGGAATTGCTGGAATTGTTGGGATTGCTGGAATTGTTGGAATTGCTGGAATTGCTGGAATTGCTGGAATTGTTGGGATTGCTGGAATTGCTGGAATTGCTGGAATTGATTTAATTGTTGGAATTGCTGGAATTGTTGGAATTGCTGGAATTCCTGGAATTCCCCGCGATGTCGCCACGGGGTCGGGCGCGGCTCGGGCTCTCCCGGCGCGGGTGACGTTGTTGGCGCTTTGGGGCCGTGGCCGTGGCCCTGTCCCCTGTCCCCACGTGGCCCCGTGTCCCCCCTCAGAGGTCCTGCCCGTCGGCATCATCGCCGGGGCCACCATCGGCGCCAGCGTCCTCCTCGTCACCTTCCTGGTGGCCCTCGCCTGCTTCCTGTACCGGCGCCGCAAAGGAAGTGAGTCGGAGACGGGGGGACAGCAGGGGACAGGGGGGACACAAAAGGACACCAGGGGACACCAAAAGGGACAGGGGGGACATGAGGGGACAAGGTGGCACCCAAAGGCAGAAGGTGGCACCAAAGGGGACAGGGGAGCACTGCAGGGGTGGCCTTGTGGTCACTGTGTGGTCACCCTGTGGTCACTCACGGTCACCCCCTGGTCATTGTGGTCACTCTGTGGTCACTCTGGTCACCCCGTGGTCACTCTGTGGTCACCCCACGGTCACCCCGTGGTCACTGTGTGGTCACCCCGTGGTCACTCAGGGTCACCCCCTGGTCACTGTGGTCACTCTGGGTCACCGTGTCACCCCATGGTCACTCTGTGGTCACTGTGGTCACTCTGTGGTCACCCCCTGGTCACTGTGGTCACTCTGGGTCACCGTGTCACCCCCAGGCCGCAAGGACGTGACCCTGCGCAAGTTGGACGTGCAGGTGGAGACGGTGAACCGAGAGCTGCACACCGAGGACGACACGGCCAGCGTGGCCACGGCCAGCCGGGTCATGAAAGCCATCTACTCGGTCTGGGACACCTGGGGACACCTGGGACAGCTGGGACACACCTGGGACAGCTGGGGACACACCTGGGACAGCTGGGACACACCTGGGGACACACCTGGGGACAGCTAAGACAGCTGGGGGGACACCTGGGGACAGCTGAGGACACACCTGGGGACACCTGGGGACACACCTGGGACAGCTGGGACACAGCTGGGGACACACCTGGGGACAGCTGAGGATACACCTGGGACAGCTGGGGACA